TTTGTTATTTGGACTGTATAAAAAGACTCCCATTTCCTTCATTGTATCTCTTCCCCACAAATTAACAGGAAAATTAGAAACAATGTTAGGTTGAAAACATCCTTAGTGTCCTTTGTCATCTTCCCAATGTAAGAGATCACTGCTTTTGTAATTGAGTAACGGCAGTTGTTTTCGGCCAACATCTAGGCCAATGTATAGAAGTCATTACTAATACATCTGCTCCTATATCCAGCAACCATGTAAATTTTTTTCTATTTATTCTTAAAACTAATTCATGACTTAAAGCTTTTATTGCTTGAACCCAGTAAGAATCTGAAAAACCAACTCTTTCATTCCTCGATCATTAGCTTTAACCTTATTTTCTGTCATAATCAACAGTATAAGGAGTAATTGAGCAACACTATGTCCAAGTTGGATGACACAAATATAGGTAGGTGAAGAGATCATAATTTTAATTACCCCAGTACAATCTGTATCTATAACTCATAGAGCAATCATCAGTCCTGCCATAGTGGCACTGCTTCTTTCCAGTAACAGTCCTACAGTTTCTGACAATAACAGACCATATATTCTGGTAGGAAGAGCCTGCATCCCAATTTCAGGAGTTAATACTGTGTAGGTAGAAGGACTGGGATCCAGTCTTGTTTTTTTTTCTCATTATTTTCCTTAGTTTTATTCAGACAATTCCTCCCTAGATGCCCTGTGTGTCCACACCCAAAACAACTTCAAAGAGGCCTATTAACCCTTCTCTTTCCTTTTCCAGTCTTTTGAAACAAAACTTGTATAGTATTTCCCTGTAGTGCAGCAGCCATGGGCATACCCTGCACATAAGAGGGACCAATCTCAGAACATAATCTATTATAGTCTGTAATAGTGCCAGTCTTTCTATAAAGTCTTATGGCAGCCTGACAGGCTGTTTGCATTCTCATAAGCCAGTTGTTTTACTAAAAGCATTCCAGCATTAGTATCACCAAACACTCTCCCTGATGCTTTAATCAGCATATCAAAAACTCCTGAAAAAGACTATCAGGTCCCTGACTTATTTTTTAATATCTTGAGACAAATCCCTTTTATTAGGCAAGATATTCCAGGCCCTACAAGCAGCAGCACCAATTTGACCATAAGTACCAGGATTAAATTATAACAGAGTCTGTATATCCTGTTAACCTTCTGTTAACATCTCATAAGTAACCTGATTGCCAGCTCTAGCATTTAGCTCTGCTGTCTGCCAGCATCTTTCAAAAAATTCCATTTTCAATAACAGATAATCTCCTCCCAAACATATATGAGCTAACAGTTTCCAATCTGCAGATGGAAGAGCTTTAGTAGACAGGCCATCTAACATGTGAATGGAGAATGTAGCAGTAGGTCCATACTGAGCACAGGCAGTTTTTAATTCTTGTAGTTGTTTAAAAGGAATGGGAGTGTAGGTATCTAACTTTTAATTCTCTTGTTAATTTTGCACTTCAAACACAGGGCATTGAAAGCATATCATTTTAAGTTTTCCTTTATTTTTTTTTTTGCATCCAGTTTGAATCCTCCCGGAAGAAGTGACACTAGAGTAACACTAGGATTTAAAGAGGTTTCCCATCATTTCTGCTGCTCTTTGAAGTCACTAAAGGAGGCCAAATCTCCATTTTTAGCTCTTTATTAGTATAAACTCCTCAGAATCTGAACTTTCAATACTCTTATGTACACTAAGAACTTGCTGCTATGAACATAGTGCAGAATGTGCCCTTGTTGTATGTTGTAGCATCTTTTGAGTATATGCACAGGAGTGGCATAGCTGGGTCCTCAGGTATTACTGTGTTCAATTTTCTGAGGAACCACCAGACAGATTTTCAGAGTAGTTGTAACAGCTTGTAATGCCACAAGCAATGAAAGAGTGTTCCTTGCTCCACATCCTCATAATCATCAGCTGTCACCTGAGTTTTGGAACTTAGCCATTCTGACTGGTGTGAGGTAGAATCTCATGATCATTTTGATTTACATTTTCCCAATAACTAAAGATGTTTAACATTTCTTTAGGAGCTTCTAGGCCAGTCATGATTCCTCAGTTGAGAATTTTCTGTTTAGCGCTATACCGAATTTTTAATAGGATTATTTAGTTCTCAGGAGCCTAACTTCTTGATTCCTTATTATGTTTTTGATATTAGCCCTCTATCACATATAGGATTGCCTTTTCCCAGTCTGTAGGTTGTCATATTGTCCTATTGACAATGTCTATTGCCTTTTAGAAGGCTTTCAATTTTATGAGATTCCATTTGTCTTAGAGCCTACGCCATTGGTGTTCTCTTCAGGAAATTTTCCCCTATGTCAATATGTTTGAGGCTCTTTCCCTTTTCTGTTCTATGGGATTCAGTGTATCTGGCTTTATGTGGAGGTCTTTGATCCATTTGGACATGAGCTTTGAGCAAGGAGATAAAAATGGATCAGTTTACATTCTTCTACATGCCAACCTCCACTTGAGCTGGCACCATTTGTTGAATATGCTGTCTTTTATCCACTGAATAGTTATGGCTTCTTTGACAAAGATCAGGTGATCATAAGTATGTGGGTTTAATTTAGGGTCTTCAATTCTATTCCATTGATCTATCTGTCTCTGTACAAATACCAATCTGGTTTTGCCACTATTGCTCTGTAGGAGGTCAGGTATGGTGATTCCCCCAGAAGATTTTTTTTATCGTTGAGTTCTTGCTATCCTGGGGTTTTTGTTATTCTAAATGAATTTGAAAATTGTTTTTCTAACTCTATGAATTATTGACTGAGAATTTTGTTGGGGATTGCATTGAATCTGTAGATTGCTTTTTGTAAGATGGCCATTTTTACTATGTTAATTCTGCTGATCCATGAACACAGGAGAACTTTCCATCTTCTGAGGACTTCTTCAATCTCTTTTTCAGAGACTTTAAATTCTTATACAGATCTTTCACTTGCTTGATTGGAGTTGCACGAAGATATTTTATAATAGTTGTGACTATTGTGAAGGGTGTCATTTCCCTAATTTCTTTCTCAGCCAGTTTGTCCTTTGATTAGAGAAAGGCTACTGATTTGTTTGAGTTAATTTTACATCCAACCTCTTTGCTGAAGTTGTTTATCAGCTGTAAGAGTTCTCTGGTGGAATTTTTGGGGTCACTTAAGTATACTATCATATATTTTGCAAATAGTGGTATCTTGACTTCTTCCTTTTCAGTATGTATCCCTTTGACCTCCTTTTGTTGTCTAATTGCCCTGGCTAGAACTTTGGGTACTATATTGAATAGGTAGAGAGAGAGACTGGGTAGCCTTGTCTAGTCCCTGATTTTAGTGGGATTGCTTCAAGTTTCTCTTCATTTAGTTTGATGGTGACTATTGGTTTGCTGTATAAAAGGATAGTTGTCTTTCAGCTCCTCAAATAAGAAGCAAAATTTCATACTTCCCTGATCTGTGCACCTTACACAAACCATACAAATATCTTAATAGTACTATAATTTTGGTTGTAAGATTCATATACTGCGAAATTTGAAGCTCTAACAAGATTTGTCTGCAGGAATACTAAAACAACCTGGTATTTCAACTCCCTCCTTCCTGATGCTGTCCAGAGACTTGCTTTCAAAACAACTTCAGAACGTGGGGCTGATTCCCGATAGACTTGATTCATCTAGCCTCTCAGACAGATCCCAGAACTTCAGATAAACCCTGAGGTTTCGAGACATACAGAGACTGGATAATAAATGCTAAAGCTAGTTACCTTATTTCTAACCAATGTTTCTTATTTTCCTACCCTTCCCTGCTCCTTTAAAAGAAATCTTCATTGCCCCTATTCAGCAGGAAGAAATTGTGGAGAGTCATCATCCTGATCCTTTGGGTTAGGGTGTGCAGTTATTGTTACTTTATAAATTATAGATAGTCATTTTTAGGAACAATTTTTGAATGGTCATAATTTTGAACAGGAAGTAAATATATGGGATGGATTACTGAATTTATTCTTAAGCAAAGCATCATATAGCCATAAACTTATATTGGTACAACTCTTTATAACTGATGCAAATTGAAGTTATCATTTCTTACGTTGGTACAGAATTTATTTATGGATAAAGATTTAAGGTTTTCATTGGTGTAAATCTTTGTATATTGATATAAAATCTGAATTAATATTGTTACTCTTAGAAAGGCATTGTGTCTATGCAACTTGTGAAAACAAAAGGCTTTGACCCACACAGTCCTTCCAGCTACTATTACAAACTGTTTAGGATGATTAAATAAGGCAAGTTGAGGATCAGAGAGTAAAACCATGACTATAGTAGATTCTAATTTAATTATAATAAAGTGTTTTGAATATTATTCAAGTAGAAATAGCTAAGAGTAGTCAAGGATTAACAGTTTTTATATACTTTATATAGATAGTCTTCAAAAACCACAGAAATCCACAGAATATGACAGATTATTAAATTTAGATATTAAATATTTAGATCATTATTAAAGATCATTTGACTATAAGTCATGTCTGCTCCTCACAGTATCACATTACAGTTTAAAGAAGATATTGAGCATCGTTTACTCCAGGCAGAGTTTCTTATTGTGCCAAGGTAGCCACTAGGCAAGAATTACCCTAATTCATCTGAAGACAAAGAATACTTTCCAGAAAAGGATGCAAGGGCTGGGTAGTCAGCACCTTAGCTCTTCCAAGATAGAGTAAGCTAGTCTTTTATAGCTTCTGCTTCACTGAAGGTCCATTAGATGATACTGGCCAGAAGGCTGAAGACAGATGATTCAATGTTTTGTGGTATAGGGGACTGTCCAAGTAGTCATCTGTGTCTATAATTTAGTCAAGCTTTGAAAGCTATGTTTTTGTGCTTCCTATACATTCGGGTTAAATTTAATTCATTCTCTGATTTCTGATGGGGCTGAAGACTAGTTATAGTCTCATATTCAAACTTAAATTGTTTAACATTAAGAAAGATGATGTAGTTTTGAAAGGATGGTTTTCAGATGGTGCTGCAAGGAAAATCAGAACAGAATTCACTTATAGAATTGAAATCTCTTTAATGTAAGATAGATGTTAGAACAATATACCCACATTGACAAGATTGATAGACTGTATGTTATTACTGTATATCATACCTCATAGTTTACAAAACTGTTATAATTATGTTCTGTGTATATCTGAAAGACAAGGCCTTTAGTGAACAAAATAGGGAGAATGTAGCAGCTTGTGTTCTTATGCTAATCATAATACCTCAAAAACTGTTTGTAGAGTCCCACATATAGGTTAAAGGAAACCTGCCCCCAGTTGGCTTTGATTGGCAAATAAAGTTGTCAACAGCCAATGGTTGGGAAAGGAGACAGGGACAGGACTTTTAGTGTAGAATATTGCAACTAAAACATCTGATACCAATTGTACAATTAGAGATGTCACAATAGTTCACCTTTTCTTCAAAAAATTATTGACCAAATTACAGAAACATGGTTACCATCAAAAGAAATTAACAGAGACATTCAAATGTGGATAGAGATGGTCCCACAAGAAGTGAAGGTGAATTTTCTGTTCTGTCACTGACTTGTCATCTCCTTTATATTAGATTGTAATTTGGATAGACATGGAGAAAGATCAATGGATGTAATGAATCTGTAACCACGAGTCAAGACAGTCAATTAAGCCCCATTTTATCTGGAATTCATTCATGAGATAAATTAAAGGGTTCAATGTACTTTCTGAAGAATCCAATAGAACTCCTTGAGGGGAAAGTCATGCTCCAGTTATGACTGCATCTCTTGGCACAACCTTTAGAACAATGGGTTTTGCTGGTTGAAGAAGTCCTTCTCTGCTTAATTTCACAGGTATCTGCAACAGGGGAAGAAAAATGTTGAAAAGCAATGAGTAAACCAACAAGATCCCCAGAAGAAAAGTTTAAGAAAAAGTATTTGGGATAATAATGCTTTGCAGAACCAAAAAGCTACATTTAATATCATATAATGTACATTAATTCTCCATGATTCTAAAAGATGTGTCAATTAGATGTTGAGAGCTTGCATCTAAATGTACATTATGTAAAATGGTGATTGAGAATCTATTGTAGTCAAGGCCTGAGACAAACTCATGCTAGTTTATACTACTTATGTTCTGTGCAAATTTAGAGTAAAACAGAAAGTTTAACATTTTTAACCTTATTCTTAGTTTTTATGTTATATTATTTTTTAAGTCATGAAAAGTTATGTTTGGTTTTACAAGATAACCATGAGATGATACATTTCAACTCTATTAACAGTCCCTAACTTTCAGATCATATCTCACTAATGCACTTCAGCATATTCAGGGCAAGTCTTCTCTGTAGGACAAATATTTTGCTTGCTTTTTTAGAATCTATTCTTGGCTTCCAAGGATTGGATGAATTGGAATCTCTAATTCTACAAGATTCTTTGAAAATGATTTAGCCTGATGCCTTTCAATGATGAGTGGGGAAAGCATCCAATGGAAAAAATCTTCTACTCACAGGAAAAGGAAGGGGAACAAAGTTATGGAGACAAAGAAGTGTCCATTTTAAAATGACTGGAGCTAGAAAGAGCATCTGCCTCATGCCAGGTAGGCCATTAGGTCTCAAAACTAGAACCTTGCTTAACCTGTCTAAATCCTTGTACATAATTTGAATGCTTTAGTGAAAAGGAATGCTTTAACTAAAGGCATGTGTGGATAAAGTTATACAACTGCCTTAAGAAACAGATGAAAACTAAACACATCTTTCTCTGTCTCAGAGATGAGCTTCTAAAGCCACACTCTGAGTGAGTTGTATTAGGATTTCAAAAAAGACCAGACATCTTGAGTTTCTGGATTCTCCTTGAGAGACATAGACCATGTTGGCTTCAAATTCATTAAGTAGCTAAGAATTATTTATGATACTCAATCCTCTAATTCCTGAGTGTAGTAAGTATAAGTATGTACCATCACAGCTTATTTATGTAGTCCTGGGGATTATAACTAGAGACTTGTACAAAACAGGTAAACATTTTGCCATCTGAGAAACATCCCAGACCCCATGTATGAGTTTTAAAGTTACTCTGTAATTCTAATGTACATCACTGGTTGAAAACACTGTGAGAAGAGGGCTTCTGTGATCTCTGGGAGAAGAGGTCAACACACAACAAACACTGAAGGCATGACCATGGCACCTCTGGATGGCACATGACATACCCAATCTCAAATGGACATGACTAGAATTTCAAACAGAATGCATGGAATCCTGCCACACTGGCCTACGCTGACTCCTCATAATATTAAGTTCTATTTTATACAGATATAGAACAAAAGGCCCATTAGATAAACATAGCTCATTTTGTCAGAGAACAAATTATTAAAACTCAAATATACATAATGATTTTTATACATAGAACCTTCACTTGGAAAAATGCCTCCCATAAAACACTATTTATAGAGATAGTTTTCTCCATCACCTGTGTTTCTTTACAAGGCTGGAAGGAGAAGTTCTGCAGAATTTTAGTGAGAGCGAGTTTCATATTCATGAGAGCAAACCTCATGCCAATGCAGTTTCTGGGTCCATTTCCAAAGGGCAGATATACATAAGGATCAATGCTGCCCTTGTTCTCCTTCCTGAACCTGGAGACACAATAGTAGATGACACGTTAACAAAGAATGAAAGCATAAGAACTACACATGTGAACTTACCTTTTGACATCTAACCAGTACACACAGGTAGTTTGGAAAAACTTCAGTGAACTTCTGCTTGCAAGTATTTGGCTCTGAGATGTTTATGCTAAAGGTCCTTTTCATTCTACTTCCCTTATAAGAGTCTCTATATGATAGAAATATGATAAATCCTGCTTTATCAATACTTCCTTCAACTGGAGAGATGGCTCAGAGGTTAAGAGGACTGATTGCTCTTCCCGATGTCCTGAGTTTAATTCCCAGCAACCACATGGTTGTAATGCAAACTGATGCCCTCTTCTGGTGTGTCTAAAGACAGCTACAGTGTGTGTGTGTGTGTGTGTGTGTGTGTGTGTGTGTGTGTGTGTATA